AAGCGTGGGACCTTGTATGCATTACAAGGGTCTGTGTTGTTTGGTTCTGCTGCAGTTGCATCGTCTCAGGTTCAACAGGAAGATATGACTACTCTCTGGCACATGAGACTGGGGCATATGAGTGAACGAGGGATGCAAGTTCTGTCGAAGAGGGATCTTCTTTGCGGGCACAAGTTGCAGAATTTGGAATTCTGTGAGCATTGTGTGTTTGGGAAGCTACATCGCAGCAAGTTTCCCAAGAAGGGTATCCACCGGACGAAGGGGATACTGGATTACCTCCACTCCGACTGTTGGGGTCCTTCACTAACCATGTCATAATTTACTTAAAAAAATATTTCAAGCAAAATACACTTCCAAGCCACAATTATTAAAATACAAGAAATAGCCATAATTTCGATGGTTTTGTTTTTGACAAATCTAGCCATTTTCGTTACAAACTTTCAAAATACATGAAATAGTCGTGACCTTGTTCTCGATTTCTTCTCAGGGCATTCTTTGGGAGGGAATGCAATGAATCGGGCTAATTGACAGTGATGAATCGAGCTTCACCTGAAACAATAACAATTACACCCACAACGGTTTCGAGGAATTGGAGGAGAAAATCCACAGCAAGCCACCACATCCTTCCTTCCCGACCCATCGTTCTCTATTCCCAACGGAGAAACTATCACCTCTTTCACCACCGCCGCCAATGCCTTTTTCTTCGCGACCATCGTCATCTTCTTCCCAACAGCCTTCTTTCTCGTCATTTTCTATACTCTGCCAAGAGTTCGAGGCCTTCTCCTTCAATCTAAAGATTGGGAATCTGAATCAGCAATTTGGGAAATAAGTACTATTAAGTGACACTGTTAAAGGAATGAGCGGAAGTGGATATTGCAAAAGTTGTGGCTATAACTGTCCCAAATGTGAAAGTTGTGGCTATAACTGTCACAAACGTGAAAGTTATGGCTACGTAAGTGTATTTTGCTTTTTTCTTTGTTAATCCACGTGGATCGCCAACTCAGCATTTCTTTCAATCCATTCATACTGTTAAATAACACCGTTAAGGAGATGGACGAAAGTGGTTGTTCTATCTATTTCAAAAACTATGGCTATATGTGTCACAAACGTGAAAGTTGTGACTATGAAATGTATTTTGAAATAAATCAATAATATATATGAACTATTAAAGTGGAGGTATATAACCAGATGAGGTCATGCGTCTTGTTCTGTCAGTCACTCCCACCATCGGGACTTTCTGGAGCGCGATTGCTGAGGAGATTCTGCGAACTAGACCGTCATCCTTCTACCTCCTCTTCTCTGTCGGACTCGCAAAAGAAAGAAAAAACAAGCAATAAATATCTGGTGAAAAATCTGTGTTTCCTTCCATATTGGGAATCCAAGTTCCAAATATATTAAACAATCTTACTTCCTTCCTACTCTTCCACATTGGGTAACGGGGGACAGTGCCATTGCCTTCTGAGTTTTGCCAGCAGCCGCCTCTTCCTTCCTTCCTTCCTTCCTTCACAAGCTCAACCGCTGTTTGTGTTACGGGCTTTTCATTTTGCTGAAAGGCCTCCACAACCTTCTCTAATTTCGCTATTCAGCGCCACCGAAAACAGAAGTTAGAAAGAGGAGGTTCCTGAAGCTTTCAGTACGTTTCGGTTAGTGCTCCCCTTTTTTCCGTCTCTTTTGGTTTTTTATCCATTTTGCCGTTTGACATGGAGTCCTTCTCCCATTTAATCATATATGGGTAATCCTTTGTTTTAATCATGCGGATTCTCTGTCCCTCATAACTGCCGCTTTTCCTTTCGGATTGAGTTCTCTTATCAATCGGTACAATTTTCACATCACTGTGGATTTTGATTTTCTGCTTTCTAGGTTGGTTTTTGGGTATCTTAGTTATCGTTCTCCTTTCATTTCCTCTGTATTCTGTATCTTTTTTTCCGCATCACTGAAGTTTGTCGTGGATTTGAATTGGCGTTATTTTTGTCTTTTATGCCAAACCCCACGAGGCTGGTTTTTGAGCTTTCAAACATTACTGATATTCTGTGGCGGTATCGTTTCCCGAAGAATGCAAGTGCTTGGGAATATCTTAAGTTGTTAGTGCTAAAAGCAGCTTGGAAAATATCTGCATTTGTTTGTGTGTTTGTGTCAAAAGTACCATCTGTTAGTGTTGTGTCGTATAAGGTAAAATTTCGGGTTGCCATATCATTATTTTAGCATTATGGGGATCTAGTGCCTTATGTTTCTTCATCTATTAGGCTTTAAATGAAAAATGTAAACTCATCACGGCTTGTCATGTTTTCAGCTAGAATTCATAGAGCATATTCTATTTGTATAAGCTTAATGATATTAGCCTCTTACTATTCATAAAGTAATACAGGTTGGTGTCACAGTAGTCTCTCACTGAGTGGGTAGGTCATTCTGCTACTGTTTTTAGGTATCCATTGTTGACTATAATCTTCAAGGTGCCATGGGGAACCAAGAAATCCCATGTAGCATCGTGGGGTTGGATTATAACTACAGAACTTCCAGTCTCTCACTGAGTGATTAGGCCAGACTGTTATTGTTTTTGGGTATTCATTGTTGACTATAATCTTCATGGTGCCATGGGGAAACTAGAAATCCCATGTAGCATCGTGGGGTTGGATTGTAGCTACAACACTTCCAGTTGTTTTCTACATAGGAACTTGTTTCTAGTGGCTAGTCATGTTGTCATCATTAGGGTAATCGTTCTTTTGGCAGTTGCTTCTCTATAACTTGCTAATTTGTTTTTTCTCCAATTTATCCAGATAAGGTTGTTCCTTTTTGCTCAATTATTGATGTGTACTCTTTCGGACACTAGAGCTTCCATTTGGTTGTTGTTGTTCATCTAATATGTTTTTTCCCTATAATTTGTGCACTCTTAATTTTTCTGTGGCGGGTTATCTAGGGGGACCAATACTTGAAAAGATGGTACAAGATGGTTCTGAATCTCACCCAAAGAAGCAGGGCCTGTTGAAGGACCAGGTTCGGTTGGTGAAGAGGAAAGATTCTGAGCGTTACGAGATTGTTCCAATTCAAGACTCCTTATCATTTGAGAAGGGCTTCTTTGTAGTCATACGTGCATGCCAATTGTTAGCGGTTTAGTTGGTCCTTCTGGGGCTGGTAAAACCATGTTCACTTAAAATATTATCAACTTCATGCCCAGTGTTGTTGTCATATCCATGGACAACTACAATGATGCTAGCTGAATCGTTGATGGAAATTTTGATGGTAGTTTTCTTGTCAATATTATCTTTTCATATGGGCTATGAAGTCCTTTTATTCACTTGTTGCCTCATCGGTGCAATAATTAGAAGAACTGTTTCATGGTGTCTGGGATCCTTTTTTATAATCAAATTCTATTTTGACATTAGCATATACGTCATTTGATCCATTGTTTGCATGTTAGCAATCTCCACTATGATGTGTGCTTCAAGTTGCCTCAAGAGAGTAAGGAAAGACAGATTATAGATCAACGTAGTTATGGAGCTGTTTATGTTTGATTTTGTTGACGTACATATCCCATCATGCTTCTGGGAGCACATATTCTAAGTTTAGCTATTTTATTTAAGAAGTTCAAGGATGTGCAGCCTTGTGTTCCTGCAATTATTTTATTTACTGAATGAAAAGCACTCCATTCTATGCATCAAATGAAGAATTATATTGAAGCTGATTTTCTTAAATGAATGAAATTGTCTCGAAACTTTTTGAGTCTTGGTTTCTTGGATGCTACCACCTTTCTCATTGATATATAGATATTTGGGGTGCTTTTATGTAATGAAATGTCCAATGGCATGGAAAATCTGTACAATTCTTATCTAAGTCTTACTTGTTTTCATTTTAGTGCAGTTTATATGTCTGTATTTTAGTGCATTCAAGAGCTTTGTTTACTTCTTCTGATATATATGCATTCATGTACTTCTGTTATGTCACAATCTTCACGTGACTCCTGAGAAAGCTGGCTTTTCTGTCTACTGGATACAGAGGTTGCTTGATTAGCAACTATTATTGTAAGCTTCAAAAGCTGCAGACTAGAGTCAATCTATTTTTTAGTAACTATTATTTGGTCCTCATGAGTGAATATTAAGCATTCATGTGTTGTTATTTTGTTTCTTTTGAGCAGATCCACGATTGACTGACTATGACACATTGCTAAAAAATGTCCAAGATTTAAAAGTTGGAAAATCTGTTGAGGTCCCTGTTTACGATTTCAAGTCAATCTCTCGCACGGGATACAGGTTGAAATCTTATCTACGTAGAAAGAGTTGTTATAAATATATATTTTATTTGGCTTCTCGAGCATTGATTGTAGTTATCTTCAAGGATAACCCAATGAATGTTGTTTAGTTTCTGATAATTTATATAACTTCCATTTATCCTCTTGAAAATCGGTTAAAACTAACGTTAGTGTATCAAATTTGCATAAGTGTAGAAGTTCCAGATTCTCGCATTATGATTATTGAAGGGATATATTGCCTTATCGAAAAGTTACGACCATTTCTAGATTTGCGAGTATCTGTTAGAGGGGAGTTCACTTTGACCTTGTGAAGCGGGTTTTACGAGATATCCAACGTGCTAGGCAGGAACCAGAAGAAATAATACATCAGATTTCTGAGACAGTTAGTTTTATTCCTTGGTGTAGCTGTTTTAAGCTATTTGTTGTGTCCCATTGCTTTCCCAAGTACCAATGCTCCCTTGCTTCTGCAGGTATACCCAATGTATAAAGCCTTCATAGAGCCAAATCTTCAAACTGCTCATATAAAAATAATTAACAAGTTCAACCCATTCACTGGATTCCAGAATCCTACTTACATCTTGAAGGTTGATTTCTGTGTTGGTTCCATTTGGTTTACATTTATGTGTTTTCTGCATTTCCTAATTTTTCTTATGTTGATTTGGCTTTTTGGTGATTACTTTTTACTGGGGCATTGGATTTGTTCATATTTTGGATGCTGAACAGGAGTCATTTTTTCCCTACATCTATGAATATATAGGTTTCTGAGTCGCTTCATTATGTTGTAGTCAGCAAGGAATGTGGCCATAGATCAGATCAAGTCTGGCTTCCCTGAAGTACATACTGAGACAATAGAGCAAACATATGACATATATATTCTACCGCCTGGTGAAGATCCAGAATCTTGCCAGTCATATCTTAGGATGCGCAACAAAGAACGAAAATACAATCTTATGTTTGAGGTTTCCACCTTACCTTCCAATATTTTAATAAATTAATCTCTAAATTTCTAAGGGCAATAACTTGCATGTAACTATAGAAATGTGGTTTCCCAAGTAACTGTATATGCATGGTACTTGACTACTGCCTAGTAACTTGCAGAACCAGTTTTTATACTTATACTTTACTTATTGAGTTGTTGCTTTTAATGTCAGAAATGGGTGACTGATGCTCCATTTGTTATATCTCCGAGGATCACGTTTGAAGTTAGTGTGCGTCTTCTTGGTAGGTTGATGGCACTGGGTTACACAATTGCAACCATCCTTAAAAGGAGTAGTCATATATTCTTCGACGATAGAGTATGTGTTAAAATTGATTGGCTAGAACAGCTGAATCGTCATTATATCCAGGTACTACATCATACTTCCTATTTATTCATCTCCTTGTCCATTTTCCCACTTTATAGCAGAAGTATATATGTAGATTTTTTGTTCGTCCCTTCTTTGAGGGTATGCATATCTATATGGCTTGATTTATGTTTAGTGAGTGCTATAAGATCCATTATTGAACCTCTCCCAACAACTCGAGTTATTAGAATCAACTAGTTCATGACATGGTATTAGAGTCTTTTTGTGACCGAAAGGTCTTATGAAGCACATGGTTTTTGTATTCAGCACCTGTGCAAACAAAAATTCTTATGAGTTAACTGACTTTCATTTGAGGGGGTGTGTTAGTGAGTGATATAAGATCCATATTGAATCTCTCCCAACATATCTAATTATTGGAATCAACTAGTTCTTGACACTTATATGTGGGGTATAATGTGGCATTAATGTCCATCAATTGCTCGCAAGCATTCTGCCCTCAACGCTTGATTATCTTTGAAAAAGGTGCAAGGAAGAGATCGGCTGGTTGTGAGATGCACTGCTGAGTAGCTCGGTTTGGAAGGTTCATACATTCCGCGCACATATATAGAACAAATCCAACTCGAGAAGCTTGTAGATGAAGTAATGGTATGACAACATACCTAAAAATATGATTAGTTTTATGTATTTCTTGTGAATTTCATTCATGCTGACAGAGATGTCTCTTGTAAAGGCTTTGCCTAACGATTTGAAGACAAAGCTAAGCCTGGATGAGGACTTAGTTTCTAGCCCCAAGGAAGCAAGAACCTCAAAAAGGTTTAAATTTAGAGTCGTTTTTGTAGTTTTTGACATCTTCATACTTCTTAGTTATTCTCCACTAATTATCCCATACCAACCAGATATCTTAGTTATGGACCCTTGTTCCTGTAGCAGTGGTATATCACATTCATATACAAATCAAGGAGACAAAAGCTACTCCAGGCTCACTGCAATCCCTGGCAGCAACCGATGGTACGAGGACAGAAATCCAGAGCCTCAAGCAATGATAGCAAATCAGGTACTAGTTCAGTGTTCTTTTTTTCTCCAGATAAACAGTCTAAACGAACCTGTGCATGAAATACTTGGTTAATTTCGTGTTTTCTTACTCTTTAAAAGGGAGTGATTACGCAGCTTTCAGAACATATGTCGTCTCTAAATGACAGAATGGATGATTTTAAGTCCCAACTGGAAGAATTGAACTCCAAGCTAACCGTGATAAACAATAATAGTAATAGTTCTCCAAGCCCACAACAGTGCATAGGTTTGCAAGGCAGTGACGTGAGCAATGGCTCCGCTCCTACTTCTTACTTCATGTCTGGGTTAAGTAATGGTTCCCAAGCCGGATCCAAACTGTCCCATTCATCGTCACTTTCCCATCTAGCTAAGGATTCACCACTTCTGGAAGAGGTAACCATAACTTCATCCTTTTTATTGAAATGAATATATTGTTTATTTAAATTGCCAATGTTGACAGTCCTCTTATCACCAAAGTCTTGATGTCTAGATTGTGCGAGGACAATGCCAATTCATGCACAAGTTAGATAGTTTCAGCAGTCTCCTGCATGAGCTGACAGCAGAGAGGTCAAGGCAAGCCAAGAAAAGAAAAGAAAGAAACTCATTATGCCTGACATTGATGCCATAGGAGTACCCGTGATCTTAACCCTAGCAATTGGTGGTTTGGGGTTGTTACTGTTTAGGATCTTTCATACTCAGGGTTAGCAGAGAACACAGGAATAAAGTTCTCTGCCTTTTCCCTAATTTTGATGTCAATTCGACCTTTTTTGTCAGGGTAACTTGTCCCCTATTGAATGCAATGCGATACAGAAATCTGTCCCCCCCCCCTGCAGGAAAGTTGTACCAAAATTTTGGGCTTATGATGAGGAGAGATTATGAACTGCGGATAAAATGAATGCTTTCCCGACTTTTTCTGTGTATTGTAAGAAGGGAAGGGCACTCAATTTTTGTAGCTAGTGTTGCGATATAGTCCGATTGGAAAAACTTTTTGCTGAAGTTTAAATAGGAAATTTTTAACGATATGATATAGTTGAATTATAGTTTTAATAAAAATATTTTTTTTTTGTTTCTCCGTTTATTCATTGTGAGTGGAAGCAGAACAAACAAAGGTTTACAAAAAATTACTGGGTAGCCGAGATACAATCTGGCCCCCACTCCCTTAGCTATAGAAAAAATAAGTCTAGTAAAAATGTATGCGACCGCCCGAGCCCCTGCATCCTGAGACATGGAGAATTTCTGGATCCTCTTGAGCAAAGACACGACATCTGTATCCAACTCTCCGAGCGAAGAAAAAGAAAAGGGCAGGAAACCATAACCAGCTGTCGTACACAAGTCCCGGTACTTGGCACACTTTCGCTGAGCAGCATCAGGAACAGCTCGGCTAGGCACAAAACCAGTCATCCCAGTCTGAGTCAGAGGTGAATATCCAGTCAAATCTACACACACATCTTGCCCCCCGTCCCATGAATAAAGCAGCAAATTCGCAGGAAGAAGGGGTGTGCCATGTCCATCGATCATACCGATATCAACCTCCTATCTGCAGAAATCCCAGACCTGTAACAGAGGTCCAATAAAGTGTCACGAACGAGGTTGTGACGATGCTTAATGCCCACAAAACCAGCACAAGACACAGCATGATCCCCAAAGACATCACCAGGAAAGACATGGGAACAAGCAGGACAGGGCTTAGATACCGAAAGCAATGGGACACTCAATCGATAGCTAAGCACACTACGATATGTCCTCCCATTCATAGTCTGGCCCAACCCAGCAATGGGAACATCACGCAACCAATCAAAAGAGTGTGCACTCTGCTGAGACTTCCACAAAGCCACCTGACGCGTAGTCAACGTGAAAACAGAATCTAAAGTAGTAACAACCTTCGAGAAATATATATCTGCCAATTTCTTCATAAGTTTTGGGGCAGCAACTCGACTAGGGTCATGTAAGAGATCAGAACCTGTAAACTCATTAAAGATGCGTAGGGCATCATCAAAAGTAAGGCCAAGAGATAGAATACGAGAAGGACTTAGGAGTTTAGCTTGCAACTCAACATACTGCAAACGAGACGCCAAAAAAGCATAATACAAGACATCTCTAGCAGCATAAACCCCAAGCCCGCCCAAATGAAAAGGAAAGGTGGCAAGCCGCCACTGCCAATCACCAAACCCGAGTCCAGAAGCAGTGACAAAAGCCGGGTCTTATTGCTTATTTTTTTAGTACAATCTTTGATAGGATTTTATAATTATTGTAATCGGTACATGATAAGAAATGAAAATATTGGGGGTAATTTCACTAAACCACTCCCCTCCTCCCAAAATATTAGGCTCGTCGATCTCCAAGAGTTAAATATATTCAATTAGATTTTTAACTCATGCAATAACTAGACAGACAGAGTGTGGTGGAGAATTGTGGAGCCATGGTCCGGTCAACCACAAAATCCCTACACCTATTGTGGGTTAAACCCCAGAATTTGCGGAAAAAACTCACAATCACATAAATGAAACCATAACATCATGCATCCAGATAACATAGTCATATAGACAAAAGGGAATCAATATACACCAATCTTTACAACAAATATCTAACAAACATCTGGAGATTTCAACATCAATTTGTTTGAGCCATATTACTCTTCCCCGATCTGTAGGCGCTTCTTTCTTTTCCTTCTCCTTCCGAGGCGCGTGGATCCTACACACGAAATGCATAGCTGATCTTCATGTCACGTTGCGCTTCCCCGGTATGTACTCAATTCTTTCGTTTCCTCTTTCTTCCAAGACACATAGACCTCTGCACAGCTGATCTTCGTGTCACATTGCGCTTACGTACACACTTCTTTCTTTTCCTCCTTTGTCCGAGGCTCATGGACCTTTACACACAAGGCGCACAACTGATCTTCGTGCCACGTTGCGCTTCCCCGGTATGTACGCCATTCTTTCATTTCCTCCTTCTTTTGGGGCGCATGGATCTTTGCACACAAAGCACACAGCGAGCTTACTTCGCTCGTTAGAACTTTGACGATCAAGTTAGCACAACATCATAGAGAAAGCAGTAGAAAGAGGTTTTCGTGAGAGAACTCAATCTGAATCATGAAGTTTACCTACTCTCTTATTTATACTAGGAGCCTTCCCGACCAATGCCCCCCAAATCTGCCCTACTTCAGCATGGTAATTAATGCCATGTACCTTCTTATTACCATGTGCCTCGACCATCTTACACCATCATGAGAGATCCTAGGAGCATTACCTAATCCGTTCAGCTTCCCGTACATTTTCGCTTGTTTCATGTCTTTTGTCGCCATGTGCCTCTTGTCAGAGATTTTGTCTCTACCCGCCCCGGTTGTTAGAAGCTCCCTTGGGTTGACTTCTCTTTCTTTTAGGCTTTGGCCATTTTGGTTTGGACTTCACCTTTGAGTACTTGAGTTCTTTTGGGCTTTCTCATCCCCAACACAAACCAACATTAGGGTTTAGTTCATAGCGATAAAGAGAGAGAAAGTGTACAAAGGGGAAAAAGAACACACATCTTGCGGTAGATTCATTTGTCTTTCTTGCACTGGCCATCCCTTTTGAATCTTGGAAGGATTTGGTGAAGAAATCTCAGAAGAAGCCTCCGGCCTTGTCGCTGTCCATGTTGTCTTCCAAAACTCTATTTTTCTCTTATAAGATGTTTTCCCTTTTGTTCCAAAACATGCTTATTCTATTTATGCGCCCACGTTGGTCTTGAGATCACGGCCTAGTATTCGGACGAGTTCACGACTGTGATTTTTGACAAGAGTTCACGACTTAAAATACAAATTCCTAGGGCATGGAAGGTTAGATAATACCAATTTATTAGGCATCTCTCTCACGAGGCATACAAATTCTTAAGGCATGGAAGGTTAGATAACACCAATTTAGGTGTTATTAGGCATCCCTCTCATTAAGGAGGATCTATAAAGATAATTGAGAACCATAACCAAGTAATTGAGTTACTGAAGAAGAAATCGAGATGCTCGGAAAGGAGGCATGAAGGGCACCCAGTCCTGGCACGAAGAAGAGGGAAGGGCATACAAGGAAGAATAAGCGTCTAGCCAGTTTAAGAGGCCAAATATTTTGGGTCATCTAACAAAGCATATTACCCTCACTTTGAAGAGCAAAACTGATGAGCCCGAATTTGAGACTCGAGATCAGAATTACGCAACTGGAACATTTGTTTTGTGTTTGTGATGGTTTCGGCACAAAAATAGGGTGATGGATGGATGATTGACAGGAACCTAGCTAGCAACTTCTACACGAGGGAAAGAGGCTGGCTTAGGGTAGATAAATACCACGAGATCGATGGAGAAAAGATTGATATTGAGGTTAGCAAGCCAAGGACGAGAATCCAAGACCAAGCTTAAGCACTCACTTGTCTTCTACAAATCAAAGTGAGGCTATTTATAGCCAAATAATCCTAATTACAATCCTAAAGCAACAATGACACGAATTAGAACTAAACAAGGAACGAAAGACAACTAAAACTCGGTAACTTGTGCTCCAAGCATCATCCTCCTCGGCCAAGCAATCTGTCCAGAAAAGTAGTCTTCGTACTAACTTCAAGCTTCTGGAACATGGAGTTCTGGCTTGATTCGAAGTCAGCCAATTCCTTCCCTAGGCTTAGAAAGTTTCATAGTTTTATATCCAACTCGAAACACCAACTGGTTGCATTCCAAATTCCACGAATAGTGCCCCAAAGTTGGTCCCAAAAACTCTGTTTCTGCCTTAGCCAAATTCTTGCAAATTTCAGGTTGCATGATAGGATTTTGATTGCTTTGAAAAATGACCTTCCTGGCATTCCCTCGACAATCCAACTGCGCCAATTTGTATAGGAGAATCCAATCTTCAAAACAAACCATCAAACTTGCATTTTCACTTAGCCATTTGAGATAACCAAACCTCAAAGTATGCTTCCCAAAGCTGCACCAACACTTAGACATTTTACAGCTTGTTTCTTGTCAACTAGATCTGATCTTTGAGAGATCAATTTGGGCTTGTACGAGGTTGGAATTGAGTTCATATCAGGCCCCCCTTCTTTAAAAGGTTTGACCTCAAAGCTTGGATCAACCTGCACTCAAAAGAATAGACAAAATCATCCCAAACAGGATTGTAAAAGCTTAGCCAAAAAACTCCTTTTTCCGGTGAGACTCGATTTTCTGGCGAGGCAATTTGAATTGGGGCTTTCTGTTTGTGAGCGTCTCGTCCCAATTCACTGCTTGCAACGAGTTCTACTAGCTCCCAGGGGTCTTCTCCATCCATTTCTAGTCTGCGACTAGACCCAATTTGTCTACATTCACCTCTCCCATTTTTCCCGCCACCGGAAAATTCAAAATTCCCACATTCCGGCGACAAATTTCCAAAATTCGGCGAACCCAATTGAAAATTGGGAATTTTCCTGATAAGCATCATCGTCTCCCGCCTCCTACACCTTCCTTGAGGCTGCGGGAGTGAATTCCAAGCGCAAGATTGTTTTGAATCACGCCCAAACGCCTCAACCAATTCACCCGTCTTCTGGTCGCTGTCCGTCGTGTTTAAATGTGGAAATTGGATTTGGACACTCTCCAATTTGACTCATCCCACCTGGGTTTCTTCGTATTTACACGTTACTGGGTGGTTGGATAACGTGATATCGTATTCGTTTGATCCGCCGCTGCTCCAATTGCTCCACCCAATTCGGGGCTTTTCAGGGTAGACCAAAAATAGGACCAGCGGGCTCTGCTCCACCGCGGCACTGTCTCGCCAGCAAGGACAGTCAATAAATATCGTCGAGACAGAAGCTGCGTCCCATG